TAATGTATTCATAATGTTCGTGAAGAAGTAGCTTACTATCCACATATACAGGGTGTTCCATAATTATTGCGACAAAATGATAGGGGTTGTAGAGGGCATAAAAATATGCAATTTCGCCTTATAAACCCCTGTTCGTAAATATGCCGTTTGAGTACTACCGCTAATTTTACCTTAAGAGCTCATAGGAGAGACAAAAAATTCACCAGCTGCAAAATGTTCGTCTAGCATTTTTCAAGGTCTCGCCGGTTTGTAAAAAAAGCCTGCTGTGTTTACATTTTTGTTATCGTAAATTCTCCACACCGATTCATTTAATTTATCTGAGTGGTGCGTCAAACTAGATAGTAAATAACAGCACCTTAGTGTTAAAATGCAGCGTTATTCGTATGCGGAACTTGCGGATATGCATTTAATTTACGGAGAAGCTGGTGGTAACGGAAGACGAGCTTCGCGCCCAACGGTTTCCAGAACGTCCTCATCCGCATCACGCCATTTTTGCAAGGATTCATGGACGTCTTCGTGTCAGTGGCAGCATCAGACACCTCGCGGAAGCAGTGCGGCCCTTCACGAGGCGCACAGTAGAATTTGAGGAAGCGATTCTGCATCATGTAGAGGCCAATCCGCGTACAAGCGTGCGTGCTACTGCACATGATATGGGAGCGTCTCTAACTACTGTTTGGCGGGTACTCCATTACCAGCAACTACACCCATACCACCTTTTAAAAGTCCAAGCCATGGGTCCAGAAGACTATCTGCCGCGTCGACGTTTTTGTCGTTGGTGGCTGCAGCAGGAGTTGAGGCAACCAAACTTTGGTCGCTACGTTTTGTTCACTGACGAGTCCTGTTTTACAAAGGACGGTTATTTTAATAGCCGTAACAGTCACATTTGGGATGAAGAAAACCCTCATGCCATAGCCATCCATAGAGACCAACATCAGTTTTAAATTAACATCTGGTGCGGCATTGTGGACTAGCATATCATCGGCCCATATTTGCTTCCACCACGTTTGGATGGGCATGCTTATGGTCGATTCTTACAGCATGTGCTACCGGAACTATTAGAAAATGTGCCAGTGAACATAAGAGCCAACATGTGGTTTCAACACGATGGCGCACCAGCCCACTTTTCTTTACAAGTGCGGCCATATTTGGACGACAAATTTCCAAATAGGTGGATAGGCCGAGGTGGCCCTGTGCCTTGGCCTGCGCGGTCACCCGACCTGACCCCACTGCATTATTTTCTCTGGGGCCATCTGAAAGCTTTAGTATACGAAACTCCTGTTCCCAACCAACAAGAGCTACTGGGAAGAGTCATGGTCGCGTCCGCACATGTTCAGGACATACCGGGGGTATGCCACAGAGTTCGCCGATCATTGAACAATCGTGCACAGCTGTGTATTCAGCAAGGTGGAGGACACTTTGAGCAATTACTGTAGGTAAGCTGTTTCAAGAAACTGATCTTTTTTTTTTGCTGCAGCCCAAACGGCATATTTCCGAACAGGGGTTTATAAGGCAAAATTGTTCATTTTGATGCCCTCTACATTTTGTCGCAATAATTATGGAACACCCTGTATACCAAGATATTTAAATTACTGGACTACTTCAATTTTTTCATCATTAATCATGAGCCTAATTGTATTGTTACCTAAATGTTTCCCTATTGGCATACATTTTGTTTTATTAGTGTTTAATTTAAGTTTATTGACCAATTCATAATTTTTCAAATATCACTATTTAACAGTTCTAAAGCAGTGTCCAAATGCTTATGTTCTATATATCTGACTTTGCAGTTGAGTCATTAATTTTCAGATAATGATTGTAGAAGGAAGATAAACCAAAATATGTGTGTAAAAATAAAAAAAAAATAAAAAAAAAATGTTACCTTGTTTTATAAAGTATCCTCCCGACAAGTATTTCAGTGCGGACCTGTATTTGATCGTGCGGTCTTGGAGCACCGGCATGCCCTCCCCTGTGAGGTCTTAAGTCACCTGATTCACGAGCCCTTTGTACTACATTAACAAAGGCACGAGGGGTTGGTTGCACTCGATTGGGCAAACCGATCCGCATAAATCCGTGATGCCGCGGCAGCATTTTGTAAAGACTCCCCCCCCGTAAATAAGAATCATATCCACAAGTTCAGCATTTTCGTAAACATGTGCCATTTTTTATTTCGTTTGAGCTACGCAACAAACACCACTATTTATTCACTCACGCGTTACCGACTGACACATTGACTGAATACAACTGAATAAAATTGTAGTAAAAACATCGTGATAGGCGTTTCAAATTCTTTCGCTTTTTTGTTTCCGATGCGATGAATCGATAAGGCGGATTATATCCGTTGTTGCCAAAGACGAGCACATAATATTATTATTGAGACAGGGCATTACTCAAACTTCTAAAGGGCTATAACTTTGTTACTTTAATTTTACCACAAAAATGTTAAAGGAAAAAAACATTTCTTTTGATCAGATCTACTCACTGTTAAAATAAATGACTCAACTTCGAAGTCACCCTGTATAAGTATATCGTCCGCAAATATTTGTATTTTGCAGTGTTCCAAAATGTCAGAGATATCATTTATATAAATAATAAATAGTAACGGCCCTAATTTACTCCCCTGTGGCACCCCTACTGATATATTTTGAACACTTGACATATTTCCAACTTTGGCTTTTTCACTTCTATTTACTAAATAATTTTGTAAAATGTGAAATACTGATCCATAGCCATAGTGACGCAATTTCATTAACAATTTTTCCCTATCTATAGTCTCAAATGCCCTTTTGAAGTCTAAAGATATTGTTACAATATAATATTTCTCATCTATACTTCTCCAGTCTTCCACCACCATTTGGATTGGCGTTTCTGTGGAACATTTTTTTCTAAATCCAGCTTTATTTTTTATCAAAATTTTGGTTTCTTCAATGAATTCTAGGATTTGTTCATATATTATCCCTTCGAAGATGTAACTAATACCCAATTTCACCTCATTCAAACAATGAAAAGTCATCTTTGATGTAAAGTATGGTTGATTTTGTGTAAAATGTCTCAAAGTAGAGAAAACAGATATGGTTTGTATAAGATGGATCCCTGATTCGCAAATTACATCGAGAAATACGTCATAAATCACTTGGTTTAGCTAAAAAACGTATTTTTCAATTTGCAGGCCGCACACTACATTAGCGGCTATGGTCATAAATGCACCAATGAAAAAGAAACATTTGCGCCATACTCGAAGCATGATACAATATCTAGATTGATATGACAGTAATTAAATGAGCATTCTTTTGAGAATAAAAGTTGCTGTACAAATTTTGCTTAATGCTTATTCTTTAACAAACATCCAGTGAATAATCGATTAACTTGACTAGCCTGCCAAAAACCATGTTCCTTAAACCAGTCCTGTTCTCACAGACTCTCTCGCGCCATCTACTGGGCAATGGGACGATTGTGCTTCTAGTCTGGTCACCGAGGCGCGTCAAGTCAGGAAATTTATTAGTCTCACGATGTTAGTTGAAAAATAAGCATTCTGCAATTTAGTTGTCTTGAAAGCATGTATCAAGCAGGATTTTGTATTGCAACGTGTATGAAACAAATCCTTCTTTTTCATTGGTGCATTATATGACAATGGACGCTGATTTAGTGCCAGGACGCAAATGAAAAAATAAGTTTTTGTCGCTGAACCAAGTAACTTATGACGTGTTTCTTGATTTCATATGGTAATTAGGGGTCCAACTTACACCAGCCATATAATTTCTCTCCAGTTTGAGGCATTTGACAAGAAATCAATCATATTTGTTAGCTCCATTCCTTCAAAGACGCGTTCTCATTGGTCCAATATGTGCAATAGGCGCTGGTCAACAGTAAAATTGGGCCTAAAAAGAACAAGTAGGGTAAAATGAGAGTTCTGGACGTACAGGGTTTGTCCGGAAAGTAATAGGACTGAGTCGATTTAAAAAAATTTATTGAGCCAATCGTTACAATTCTTTGAAAACTTTCAAAATAGGCTCCTTCTGCGTCGATGCATCGCTGCCAGCGCGATTTCCAAGCATTGAAGGCGTCACGGAAGGCATTCTCCGGAATAGCCTTGAGAGCCGCGGTGCATGCTGCTTGGATCCCCTCTGTCGTCTCAAAATGCTTGCCTTTCAACTTGTCGTTGACGGTTTGTCCAGGAGGAACAAATTCATGGTGGACGATGCCTTTGATGTCAAAAAAGACAATGAGCATCGTTTTTACTTTTGGATTTGCTCATTCTTCCCTTTTTTGGGCGAGGAGACGCCGTCGAGTGCCACTCGGAAGATTGCCTCTTTGTCTCGGGATCATACTCAAAGATCCACGACTCTTCACCTGTGATTATGTTATTAAAAAATTGGGGATCACTTTCACACATGTTCAAATTTTCTTGGCACACTTCCACTCGCCGCAATTTCTGGTCGTCAGTCAGCACTTTTGTGACCATGTTCGCGCACACCTTGCGTATGTTCAAATGCTGTATCACAATGTCGTGAAAAACAGATTTTGGTAAATTTAACATCTGGCAATTAAACGAATACTTAGTCGACGGTCTGAGTTCAAAACTTTGCGCACACGAGTCACATTATCGGTGTTTGTTTCGGCTTGCACCACTCACAGAAACACATCGCGCGAAAATGCCTGTCCTGACTCTCCAAGTGCTCGGAGACAACTGACCTGCCGCTCATTCGTTAGCTAGGAACGCCCTCTACCAAATCCAGTCGGTGCAGTGGCGCACGATGACTTCTGCTACTGTCATCAATTCTGGTATTTGACTATAGCCAAATACATGTATATTCTAAGAAGGTGACGAAGTCATAACTAGTATGAAAGCGTCAACGTTATTCTACCAGCACCTCTTATTTCTGTCTTAATGCAAAAATCAGTTATCATTTTTAGAGTTTGAATACAGGTTACACGTTTATGAGAGAGTTCTTCTAACGCAGTAAATCATTTAACAGATCACCCAAAATCTCATGACATTTCAGGTTGCATAACAAGAGCGTTTACGTGAAGATGGGTTTAAGAAAAATCGTAGGACCATCTATGTGCAAGGATCTTCACAAGGAAGTTAGATTGGAGGTCGATGGGAAACACGTCGAGTTACCACAAGTTGAAGGAATCATTATTTTGAATATACTCAGGTAAAAAGAAGTACTTTTATGGAGAGTGGTGGAGGGGTTAAGCGTTTTGCAAACTCTGTTCGATGTTGAATATCTTGTTATCTTTTCAGTTGGGGATCTGGAGCGAATCCTTGGGGACCGGAGAAGGACGATCAGTTTTCTAAGCCTAATCATTGGGATGGAATGCTGGAAGTAGTTGGAGTTACCGGTGTCGTTCATTTGGGGCAGATTCAGTCTGGGCTAAGGACGGCCATGAGAATTGCCCAGGTATATTCGATTTGTTGTGCTTATTATTTCTCCCAGCTTTCGGTCCCGCGGATTTACACGCGTTAACATGTAGGTGACGCCACCGATACAGTAACCAAATTCCCCGAGTATGCAAGTTGAATGTCAATTTACTGATGTCATCAAAGATACACGTTACCGGAATTTCATTACTTAAAAACAACGTTTTGTGTTAGTAACAGTTTCAAGTGTACGTAAGTAACATCTGATGCAAAATAAAATGACTATATATCGAATGACAGTCACGTGTTAAGAGGGGCGATGACTGGCCGCGCTGTTGCCAGCTTGATGCTGACAGTAAAGATTTTGATAGTTGCAACGACAGTTGATGGCAGCATCGATGATGAGTTCGTGGATAAAATAATGCCAATAACTTTTTTCGCTACTAGAGACGTGATGCTGACAGACTAGACAGACGATCAAATCTAAATTAAGACAATTACGCTAAGAAAACGAATGTCGAAATGCAGTAAACGCACGTTGCAAATGCCCTATTTATATACCCTTAATCATCTAGGACGTACCAGAGACTGAGCGTTTCCGCGCCAGACAGTACATGTCAAATTCCATTAAGACGTTTGGGCTGTAGCACATGATATTTCAAAGATATTTTCCGACGTGAAAGTACCAAATTTCATCCAGATCTTGGCGTGATTGAGCAACAAAGATCCACACTTTCTCATTTATAATATCATCAGTATCAGTAGGGAAGTAGGGATATAATATTAGAAGGGATTATTATTTATAATTAAATGGGTTGTGCTCATAAATGTACACGCTGTCACTAAAGATGTTTTGTTTATTCTCTGTTTTTCAATTTTTTTAGTTGATCACGTATATTACATGGATTTTTGCATTTTACAGGGAGGGCATATTAAGATCCATCTAAACTCCGATATTCCTGTTCAAGTGGACGGTGAACCATGGGTACAAAGTGCCTGTGATGTTGTAGTTTTAAAATCTGCGCTGAAGGTAAGGAATTGATGTTATTTTTGTTAAACTTGCTTTTCCTCTAGAAACAAATGTTCGCCCAAAAGGGAAGGCACAAAATGCCATGAGTTCCTATCGATATGTGATATTTAAAAGGAACTTTAAAGCAAAGGAAAGCAAATTTGACCGGCAAGATAAATGTTTAGATGATTTAATGTGATAATTTCAAGTATCAAAGCTAACACTTTAACTGTTCGTAGATATGATGGATATTCATCGGGATAAAACATATGAACACTGTTTAGCTATGACACTTGAAATATTGAGCGCGCTCAGCCATCGTAACGTGGTGTGAGGCCAAGAGCTTTAATGCTGAATAGCAGTAACCGTGGAACAGCTTTGACACTTCACGATATACAGGGTGATTCCCAAGTCGTGACAAAAAATGAAACATCATACGCAGGACCGCATTTTAAGAGGGGTTTTCTATGTAACATTTTTTCCTCGAGGCTTCATTAAAAAGATACGGGGTGTTGAAGTTTAAAAATTAAAAAAAAAAAATTTTTTTAATATATTCAAAACCGTCAACTGGAATGAAGTAAAATTTGGTATGTGGATTTAAGTAAAAATAGTACGCCACTATTGTTTTTTCGAAACGCGCAATTTTTCGAATTTTACCTTCAATTTGCTACAAATAATTACTCTTGTGTTTTTTCCTAGAGTGCAGGGTTTTCCTAAAAATAAAAATAAAACAAATTAGATCATTCACGATGAAGAGCCGATTTACAATTAGTTTCAAAATAAAATGTTAGGCCTTGATACCAACTTGACGTTTCTTGGGAGATAATTTGTCAAAGTATGTGTTATACGGTTGTTATCGTTACTATTATCATTTTTTTTTTTGGAAAATTCAAGTCAAAAGTTTCTTTTTTCCATTTTTTTTATTTTTACGAAAACAATGCACTCTAAGAAAAAACAAGAGTGATTATTTGTAGCAAATTGAATTTAAAATTTGGAAAATTGCGCGAAAAACAGTGGCGTACTATTTTTATTTGGAAAAATAATACCACTAATTCCCTGTATCTCCGCCACTGGTGCACTTTAAATTTGAGTAAAGACTTTTGAATGTAGACAATACTCAGGTAAATCCACATAACGCATTTTAGTTCATTCCAGGACAGTTTTGAAGATATTAAAAAAAAGTTTATTATTTTTAAACTTCAAGAGCCCGTATCTTTTTAATGAAGCTCTCCAGGAAAAAATGTTACATAGAAGATCCACATTATAATGCGGTTCTGTGTATGATGTTTCATTTTTGGTCACGAATTATGAATCACCCTGTATAAGCATAAACTATCAAATCGACAGCCAAGTAAAAAATACTATCAAACTGACAAAGCTATTATTCAGCATAAAATGAATGTACCTCTGGACCAATTTACGTTCGCTGAACGCACTCAGATGTTCTAACTCAAAAAAGGATATATACTATATGAGATACACCTGTTACCAGTAAATCCTTTACCTGGTGTTTCAAGCTTTTCTGACTAGTTACAAGCATCACAGCACTTCACCTGTACAGAATACACTTATACTTATGGTATGCTTAACGCCATACTTGCATGGATGTGCTATATGTACCCTTACCTCCCTCCCCATTGAGCTAACAACGACAACGCTTTGTAAAAAAATGCACCGTGGAAAAGTATACACTAATATGCACCGCGGAAAAGTATATACTAATAATAAAATAGCGTAAACATTGTATATACATTAATTTAGCATCTAGCTCTATAGTTTTAATATCCACAGCTCAGTATATCTTGAAAGTTAGTATCTTGAAAGTGTCGCATATAGTTTGATGAAGCGATTGAAAGTATCTTGAGATTTGATAATATGCACGGATGATTAAAACACAGTGGTAGGCTAGAAGGTATATGGAATAATTTAGGCTCCGACCTAAGTCACACATTGGGCGTTTGGTCACAAAAGGCCGAAGTTTTGCTTCATTCCCGATAATACCTGGAGTTCTGTAATTTTTTAGGTCCCACCGTCTGATATACTCTTATATGCTAGTTGAGATGTTGGTCCAATTTGACTTAATTCGTAATCCGTTCTTACATTACTTTAATTCAATTGCAAAAACTTTATTGAAGTTTGGTATCCATAATAATTACTTTTTCAATATTTCTATTTAAAATTGCATTCGATCCAACATACCATTTTCGTTTTATGGACCTACTCATATTTTGATTAACATATTTAGTTTTTATCAAATTTTCAAAATTTCGATTCAAAATTGCATTGAAATCAACACACCATTTGATTCTTATGACCTATCTGACATTATGAGGACTAGAAGCAAAACATCGGCTTCAACTTGGGCCCAAAAATTGACCTCCATTTGGATCATCGCCGAATAATATACAGGGTGTCCGCAAAGTTGGGGTTTTCCTTTTCAGAAACAACTACCCTTGAAATAACAAAGGTAATGTGTAGTGAAACGAGGGCGACCAAGTAAAAAAAATAAAGAAAAAAGTACTCACTCTCCACTTGACGAGAAGGGCTAAGTACGTCTCTGCCCGAAATCATACCGCTCCAACAGAAAATGAAATCAGCTGATGCGCTACCGAGCAGACGCACCATGCCAGCCCAAACATTCACCGAAAATGTTTGTTGAAAATGTGCCCGACGGACAGCGTGCGGATTTTCTACTGACCAAACATGAGTGTTGTGAAAGTTATTCACCCCATTACGCGTGAATGTAGATTCGTCTGTCACCAATATGCACTTCAAAAAGTCCGGATTATTGTCATGTTGATGCAACAACCACTCACAAAACCGCACTCTTGCTGGAAAATCGTCAGGTTGAAGGGCTTGTACACATTGGACGTGAAACGGATACAGCGTTTGCCATACTTTAGTTTTTGATACTTGCACTTCTCTAGCCACGTCTCTAGTGCTTGTTGAGGGATTCTCGTCTCCGCGATTACCTCTACAGGCGTGACCGTAACCGTCGGTTGAAGGTTGCATACTGACCTGACACACTGACCCCGACCCAGTTCTGTCGTCGGGTTGAGCCAGTGACATTGTACCACTCCGTGATGTCGCGGCTACAGGACGGTATTCAGATATTTTTGATGTTGCAGAGCCCTTTATCTCGGTTCCCTTAAGACATTGGTGTATATGGTACTAAGAAAAATTGCTTATGTTTTCAAGATCTACACGTCGTGTAAAGGAAAATCCCAACTTTGCGGACACCTTGTATATGACCTCAGGCCTTTCCCGACGCGATATCTGCTACTGTCTTTTGAATCACCCTATTATACATACAATATTATTCAATCTCTTGTTTTTACCTAGAAATATTAAAGACATCGAGATATATTCAAAATAAAATAAATGTTGAATGCTAAAAAATACTTTCTTAGTTTTGGATGTTTTGCTGTTATATGTTTATAAATGTTGTACAGTGCAAAATAATAATTGACAGTTTTTTCTGTGAAATTGATGTATAGATGTCTGATTTTAGTCATTGTATTCGGGGTACCCCAGAGAAAAGCTATCTTTTAACAAAAATCAAAGACATATTTATTCTTAATGAACTGATTAAAAGATGACTAATAGCAAAATCAAAAAATATACATAAATAAATCCAATAATTCGTAGCTACCATTTTCCTTTTCACTTCATGTTTCCATTTTTATGTTGAAGTATATTATATCATTAGTTAAATCTACTTAAATATCAAAAAATTGCCATATACTAATTAGTTAGACCGGCACCCCATATTTTTGGCACTTTTATTACGATTATTGCTATAAAATCGATCTTTAAACATTTTGCATAGCCTGCTGGATAAGGTCTCTTGAAAGTAGGAACTGCATCCTCAAAGTACAATTGTTTTTTAGTCTTTGAGATGAACCACTTAATTTTAGTACAAAAGATAGCTTGCTTCTGTTAAGTATTCCAAATACAATTAATAACAAGACACTAATCATAATACTTTTCAACGATTTTACGTTTATTGCTACAGGCGACAATGCTGAAGAAAAATAAGTTCAAGCGTCGGCCCACAGAACCATGTATACTTCCATCAGCCAATGGGGAGGGGGGCAAAAGCACAGATGACTAGATCAATACCCTAAACAAAACACGAAAATATTCCCTTTTATTTCATGTGCCACTTCTTTCAGAGTTTATCATTTCCTGTTTTATACACATTAAAATATAGCATGAGCAGGAATTTTGAAACTGTGGGACGCACCTTTGACGACCTTTATCAAGTAAAACTACCCGATTGTTGATAGTTTACACCACAAACGCATAAACATTTTTTAGACACAGGTGCGTTTCTGTCAGACAAGTCTGAATCGGCATGTTTTTTCTTCAACTTATAATTACTAAAATATAGTTTTTGTACCTTTAATAATGTATTATCAAGTAGTGATTGACAATCTCAAAATATCCTCTTCTATTTTATCCAATCCTGTAATTTCCTTTCTAGTTTTTAACGTCAAGAGTTTTTAAATGCAATGTTTCCGATAAGTCACATAGCCACACATGCAAAAAATCAATGGAATGGATTAAAAATCCAACAGTGTCTTAGTTTTAACAACTGTGAAAACTAATAAGTGAGAAGGAATTGCATGCACAATAATGACGATTCATTTGATAAGTTCTTTTGTAGTCTCCGAGTGATATAATTATTTGAAAATCTTCGTACTATTATAAAAAGTATACTAAGCCTTAAAATTAAAAACGAGTGTATACGCCCCTCTCCTCAGGCCACGATGCTGAAGAAAATGAAAGGAAAAATGAAACGGCGTAATACAGAACCGACGATGCTGGTTTCTCCAGGAGGACAACTGGCTCCTCTACCTTCAAATGATGGAGAATCATCGCCAACTGATCCAGAAAATACACATTTCTGAAGCATTCTTTACACTAAGCGCTCAAGGTCACTGAAACTCTATCCCACTTCTGATAGCGAAAGAGCTTTAAATTTGGAGATAGTGACCTAAAGCTCTTCGTGCAACATGCTTAAGCTATATTACAAACAATCAGTTACTGAAAAAACGTATTAAAGAAAATTGTTGTAGATGGTTTATTGTTATGCCTTCTGTTACCAAACCTATATACCTCACAAAAGGTAAACCAAGCCAAACGAAAAAGTACAAAAAACGCACAATGTTTCTTGATACACAAACTTAACAATTTTATGCGGGTCTTTCGCAAATGAGGTATGCTCTGTTTTGATTATTAACTTTAAGCTACAATTCGAACTTAGCAACCTGCACTTGTGGTAAGCTCGCACAAATCTGGATATCGAACTATTATTTTATTTCATGTTTCTCTCTATACCTGTTATTTTCATTTTTTTAAGATAGAATGAGGAAAGCTTTTCAATACGTTTTTTCAGTAGCTACTTATCTAAACCAAAACTCAATGCCTCTCAGTAGTTAACAACTAGCTTCCGGTAATGTTCAGTACAGAGTATCGTGTATTTTTACACTGATTAATCTATATTTTTCTCTCGCTTTAACTCTTCAAATGGTGTGCCAAAAAAAAGTGCAAAGATATATTTTTGACGTTCAATTTTTACGTTAAAGATGATGTGAACTTGGATGGTTTCATACCGGAACTTCGGTTAGTTACACTCAGAGGTCATTTTAGCTGTATGTTCGTTTTAAGGTATGCATTTATTCAGTTTGCAAAGCACCTCGTGAAAACAAAACGTCAATAAAATTTAATAAAGTGAAAGAGAAATGTCTTGGAAGAACCAGGTAAATCTGACCAGCTGCTTTCATGAGATGTATGTTGTTTCAAAACAGTACAACTAAGCCAAATGTAATGATTATTACGTTATAGTATGGTATTTTTACCAGAATATTTGGTGAAGAGTATACAAACAAAACACTATATATTGATTGTGGCTACATAGCCCGTTGAGTTTATTTAATTTTAAATAGTTCGTTTGAGTACAATTGAGTACTGCGCATATGTTATAGTTTTAAAATTAATTTATTTAAAAAAACTGCATAAAAATCAAAAAAATAAGCAGTGCTGTACCTCCTTGTACAGCGAGTGGTTACATGTGAGTATATCTTGCATCACAAATTTTCAAAAACCACTTATAAACGGTATAACCAACTGCAAAACCGTTCATAAAAACATTGATCGAAACATTCTTGGAACACATCTCGTAGTAAGTTAAGTGTCAGTGTCGTTATAAAGTGTGAAAGTGAGGATACGGTTTTAGAGACTACAGTAAATGTAGCTGGACAGTGGTTTTACATGCATATGTTAGGTATGTCGGATACGGAGCATTAAATCGCTAACAGGTGTGTTCCAGATGCTTCGATCTTTGATAGGCTATCATGCAATCTTAGTACACCCTTCCCAAAATTGCTGGACAGTCGCTGGAAGCAGTGACAGAAGTGCGGTATAGGTTTAATGCGTTGTTACCTTATGTGACCACTAGATTTGTGAAAAACGTGCACAGGACATATGAAATAACGTAGCATAGATGCTAACGATGCGTCGTTCTTTCACGTTATCGTATTGATTGATGAAAGTTTACGCTTTTGGAATCAATATTGAGTACAATGTACGCTGTTGGACGTTATTGGCAATGACAAGTGACATATAACCAATCGCGCTGCGAACCTAAAACTCTCTACTTCGACGTTGTTGTCGTTTGCGTGCTGAGGACGGATGTAGGATCACGTGGCTTCCGCATGATCCTTCATCCCCTTCCAAGGCGCCAGGCGACAGCCCAGACGAAAGAGGGGGTGGTTATCAAAGGAAGAGCTTTGTGCTCGACTTCCAGGTGTCGACCACAAGGTATTGGTCAATCCGCTTGTGCGCTAGGGGCTCAATTTTCATCTTACCTCTATGGCCTGGATGCAGAGGAGGTGGAAGTCAAGCGAACATAGCGGATTTTCCTTCGCCTGGACCTGTTAGGTACTATTCGATGTGCTATATTGTTTGTAATTATATTTCCCAAGGTATATATAAATTAGATCGAGTTTTGTTCATTGTTTTGAGGGTTCAGCTTCGCTGCAGGCTATTCGTAACCTGCGAGGGAGCATTTACAAATATATATGTATATGTGATTAAATAGATATATTAAAAATTGTGAAATATAGAAATACTTAAAATTATGTGTTTTTGTTGATTCATTTACCTCGCCACTGTTACATTCCATGTCCTATACCCCATTCGTAGTCCATATTTTTCTCAATGGTATTGGAATAATCTAACAAAATAAATGATACTATTCGCAATTATTTATTCGCTGGAAGTACATCGTCCGAATGGTTAACATTAATTATTACAGGTTCGATTTGAATATACCGATCATATTGTCAAGAGCCCACATCTTTGTTCCAATTGTCTATTGAACTGTTGGACCATCATAAGATGATATAGAACACGTCAATAGAAACAATAGTATAAAAAAATATACAGAAAATAAATAAATAAATAGATAACATACATTAGTGTATACAGTCAAAATCAACAAACATTGTAATATAAAACACACAAACATTTAACTAAAAACAAACATTGAAAAAACGTGGAAAGCACAGATTAAAATATCGCTATGTGATAATTATATAAATAAAATCAAAGAACAGAATATAAAATAAATAAGGACGGTAACTGCTGAATTGAGATATAGAATATAATAAGAATAATGATAATAATAATAATAATCCTTATTTAAACTGTACATTTTCATACAGAGACACAATAGTTGCATATGGTGGCGAAGTTTAGCCATGCTACTCTTACACTTAACCACCCATGCAAAAAAAAACAAGTTGTTCAGCAGCAGATATCAAACAAAATATATACATATATATATACACATATACATATACAGGGTTATCCAAATTAAGTGTCCACCATTAGTAACTTTGTTATTAGTGAAAATACAAAGTTGTTTGAATTAGCAAACTAGTAGCATTTTTAACGCTGGTAAAAACGAGAAATAAAAAAAAACAATTGAGAGTCGTTATTTTGATTTTTTTCAGTAAAATAACATTTTTTTAAATGGAAACCCCTGTATATTATATTTTTTTCTGTTAAAGCATCAAATTTTAAACAAAAAAGCTTACAATAACTTTTCTCCTAGGTTACAAATTGTTGAAGTTATGGCCTCCAATCTGAAACAATTAAATTGTATCGACAAACTTTATTTTCAACATCAACTTATAATCTTACAAAATACAATAACAATTTTTTTTAAAGAAGATGCTCGAAAACACCACCTTGTTCTTCTATACATTTTTGGGCACGTTTTTCAACTGCTCGAACTGTCTTAAGTATGGTCCTACCATCTATCTGGGTTATCTTTTCCCTAACTGCAGTCTTTAACGCGTCAAGGTTATCGTACCTTCGCTTGTAAATTTGGTTCTTTAAGTAACCCCACAAGAAGTAATCAAGTGGGTTTAGATCTGGTGATCTGGGAGGCCACTGTATTGGGCCATTTGTTCCTATCCACTGATCATTAAAAGTAGTACTTAGAAAATGATAAGTACCTCTGGAGTTGTGGGCAGGTGCGCCATCTTGCTGAAAATGCAGATGATGTCTACTTATAAAGATCCAATTCGTCTAAGAAATTAGTCAGAATTTCTGACATAAATTCCACATATCTTTCACCAGTTAGGGTTCCCTCATAAAAGAACGGGCCAACAATTTTTGAACCAATTATACCGCACCAAACGTTGAAACTGAAACGGACTTGTGGGCCTCTTGGATGTACTAACAAAAGATTTTCTCTTGACCAATAATGGTGGTTTTTTCTATTAAACATTCCAGAATTTGAAAAATTTGATTCATCTGTCCATAAAAGGTAACGAAAGTTATTTACATTTTGGCGACAGAAGCTAAGATACCAATGGCAAAAAACAAGTCTTCTCTCTGGATCCCCTGCCAAAAGCGTTTGAACTGGTCGGTACTTATACGGAATAAATTTGTATTTTTTTAAAATCCTTTGAACAGTACCATAACTGAAATTAGAGTCCTTGAGAATTCTGCTATTGAATTCTCACGATAAGCTTCAAAATATCCAATAACTGCAATTTCCGTGGCCTCGCTTATTATGAATTCTTTTTTTGCCCTTGTTTTAGCAAAAACATTTTCGTTGCCCCTAAATTTTCGATAAAGTCTCAGAAAATATCGTTCATACGGTTGAATGCGAGCGGGATATAATTCACTCTCTGCTCTCAAGGAGGATTTTCTGCACACTAAATAGCATTCTAACATATCACACTTTTCTTCATGGGAGAACATTTTTCTTTAAATTAATGACACAATAAAGCTTATAAACAAGTATTTACACTAATGTTTGACATTATTTGATTTTATCATTGTTTTCCAAAGCCTTCTAGTTGCGAGTATGTCCAGTTTAACAATTTGTCGCTTATCTTAATGCTGTCAAATCGCGAACGCCATGTTGTTTTCATAGCCGTCTTAATATTATAATACTGCAAATAATTAAAAATATTTATCGTTATTTTGACTTTATTTTTGACTTTAGCGGAAAAGTCATTATGAACTTTTTTGTTTAAAATTTGATGCTTTAACAGAAAAAAATATAATATACAGGGGTTTCCATTTAAAAAAATGTTATTTTACTGAAAAAAATCAAAATAACGACTCTCAATTGTTTTTTTTTATTTCTCATTTTTACCAGCGTTAAAAATGCTACTAGTTTGCTAATTCAAACAACTTTGTATTTTCATTAATAACAAAGTTACTAATGGTGGACACTTAATTTGGATAACCCTGTATATAATATACACATATATACATACATACATATACATGTTGCACCAAGGTTTACTATATGTACAGTAAGGAAGTAAAGAAACATTTAACAATATACATCTATAGCAATCTAATTAAGACTATGGATCCAAGCAGATATGAGATTTGACAGTTTTCTTGAAGCAATTTAAGGACATGGTTTTGAATTCAGGACTCAAAGCATTGTATAACACTGCAGCACTGTACGTGAAAGAATGCTAGAATAAAACTGTGGAGTGAATAGGTGTAGTTATCAAATTTGGAAATCTAATATATCTATGATGAATATTGCGCCTAAAGATCAGCTTTTCTCTTAAGTATATAGGTTTATACTCATTACTTAAGCTATATTGTCAGAACTACTCCTACTGGTCATTTGTTAGGGTATCTGACAAGTACTCATCCAAAAAGTAATATGCTTTACTTTTTAATAAAGCCTTAATTTGATATTTGAAGTTAGTGAGTGGCAGAGCCCTGAGGGTGATTAGCAATTTGTTGAACAACTTAACACCCATTTGATGCGGACTGCATTCTGTTCTAGATAATCTGTGCGTGGGAACATCCTATAGGATAAGCGAACTTCTTGTTAAGTACTTGTTATGGTCGTTCAGCTTCGGAAAATCATCTAAATTAGACTCTACATGTAACAACAGCTCGAAAATGTATATGGATGGCAAAGTTAGTATTCCCAGCTGTTTGAAAGAAGCTCTACAGCTAAACCTTCTGCTCAGACCTTGAAGTAAACGTATTATTCTTTTTTGCATAGTAAATACTCGTTTCATTTCAGTGGAAAGACGCCAGGCTATTATGCCATATGACAGAGTTGACTGTACATATGACAAAACGTAACTGACTAATGCAGTATATGTGAGGATCAATCTTTTTACATATATGTGGTCAATATGAGTATTCCACTTTAAGCACCTGCTTATGTGTATACCCAAAAATTTGACAAAGTCGACCTGTTGAATGGAACCATCGAGCGACTTAACCAGCAAGCTATGATATCGACTAATAAAGATGTATCATCCGCATACATAACGTAATTGGTGCTACCGAAGTCATTCACAAAAATTATATACAGCAATGGTTTCAATATAGAGCCCTGCGGAACTCCCACTTCACTCTTACGCATTTCGGATGTGTGATTTTCAATTTCAACATATTGTAATCTGTTGGACAAATAATCACAAAACCACTCAAGCGGAAGTCCCCGTATTTCATAGCATTCAAGTTTTGTCAACAACAAGGTCGAAAGCCTTGCTTAAATCAATGAATATCCCAGTGCTCTTTTTGCCTATATCAATACTGCTATAGAGATGGTTCAAGAACTTTATTATCGCTGTAGTAGTTGAAAAACCCTTGCGGAAACCATACTGATCTTCATTAAACAATAGGTTGTTATTGAAGTATTTCACGATACAGATTGCTACGTACTCTTCAAGTATTTTCAGAAATGGACTGAGCAGGGATATTGGTCTGAAGTTTCCTAAACGACTGGAGTCTCCTTTTTTGAAGATGGGAATTATTTTTGCAATTTTCAAACAACTGGGAATCTTACCTTCCTCCAAAGAACAGTTCACCAAGTAAGCAACTACTCCAGCAATCAGGTGGGCACATTCCTTCACAACGTTTGTGCTAATACCATCCTCACCAACAGAGTCAGATGGTTTCAAATCCCTGATGTTAACCTGGATGTCCGTTTCACACGCAGGGTGGAAAAAGAAAGTGTGACTAATTTTTGAACCTGGTAAAACATTGCTAGGAGTAATTGACAAACGCTTAATGCTGTCCAGAAAATGGTTATTAAAAGCTGTTGTAACATACTGAGGATTGTCAGTTTGTGAGTTTCCAACTTTTATAATGATCTTTTTATTTGTGGAGGATTTGGGTTTCAGTATATTCCACGCTGCTTTGGATTTGTTTGTGGCTTGCTCTAACATGCGACTGTTGTATAACTTTTTTGCTGCGCGAAGCAATTTTTCATATGTCTTTTTGTATGAGTTATAATAATTTTTCATATCTGCATCCTGTCTAGTTAAATTATACAATTCTTTTAATCGTTGGCCAGACATAATTAAACCGTTTGATAACCAAGGTTCTCTTCTTTCGATTTTAGTTGATATAACTTTCTCTTTAAGAGGGAAAGCTTACTCGAAGTAATACTTGAATACGTTAAGAAATGACTGATGACCACCATCATTAATATAGATATCAAGCCAATTTCTTTGCTTAATAAATCCAGAAAACGTTTCATGTTATGTTCATTATGTATTTGTCTATAGTGATATTTGATTGGTAACAGAACAGTATTACCTTCATTTACAATTTGTATCATTTGTGATAC